TAACTTATGATGAAATTCACAGGGTGGTGAAAGTGCACGGTGATCTTAATGCTCCTTTCCAATAAATATTGAGTGTCTAATTCTGGTGACATGATGATAGATGCTTGACTGCTTGGATGCCATAATAATGTCATCATGTAGACTAGCCTACCCGCACTGTATCTGCGAGTGTTGGCTAGAGCGCAAGTGCCAAGACCAGTGTAGGCACATCTGTGTAGGCACATCTGCTAACGTAAGCGAAAAAGTACATTTTGTGTGCACTATGTTATCACGCACTGATTGTTATCCGCAACAAGTCTGTTTGGTGGAAACACACCATTGGTGGGAAAATTCAAATATTTTCTTTATGTGGATTTTTGAATATTCACATGAAAATCTGTTGCCAAATGAAGGGAAACCTAACTTCTGTTAATCTCGACAAACATAAAATACATCCCTCCCTACCATGTAGGCCTATCCAGTATCGAAGGCTTGGTTTGACAATCTCCAAATGTCATTAAACCTTTTGGTGTTTTGTAACAGATGTTTCTTTCCATTTATCAAATGGCTGCTACACAGTTTTTAATGCTGTAAATATATTTTGGACGAACGTGCGCAGGTAGCCTACAGGAGACTTTTGAAGTAGCCTAATCAGATTAAAACATTGTGACTGGTTGTGTTTATGCCACATATAAAAGGTAAAAGTTAAATGACAAATCTTTAGGCTATATTAAAGAGTTAGGTTCTAGGTGTGCGAGGAGTAGACGTACGGATTGGAGATTACTAAGCTTTCCTTAATAACTGGGCCTGCTGGGAGGATATGGCTGTGTTTACACAGGCAGCGCAATTATGGTATTTTTTTCCCTAAATGGTCTATTGACCATTCAAATCAGCTCTGAAAAAGATATGATGTGAAAATGTATAATGTGATTGGTCAAAAGACTAATTAGTGGAAAAAATATCAGAATTAGGCTGCCTGTGTAAACGCAGTTTATGTGGTCACATTATTATAGGACGACTTGGGAGAATGATGATCCGCAACAGACAGCATATCTCAGTATCAGAAGTAAAAATACAGCCAGACCGGCCTGCTACTGTCCCTTTCTAGACCTTATCGAGTGATTCAAATGGAATGAAACATTCAAATCACAGGGCTTTTGCGCCATTATTCAAAGTACATTTTCACTGCAGCCTAGAGTAGAATTTTGTACTCACTTGAAAACAATAACGCAATTATTCATTGCATTGTGTAGTTGTATGTTAGTCTAGGTAGGATTATTGTCTTGTCAAAAAGATCAATAGGGGATCTTTCATGCGCAATGACGCACCTGGCCTCTCCTCTGTCTATCAGCTATTCCTATTTGTTCTTGTCATATTGAAAACTGGTGCAGCTTTGAATGATTTTATGTGTGGTATGAATGCTAGTTAGCCTATTGCAGATCTGGACATATACGATCCACCTACCACTATTGTCACTATGAATGGTGGATAGAGGGCAGGATAGACAGTTAGACTGGTAGACCATATTGACCTGGTGGTATAGTAATAGTTAGCGCACACAAAAGCATAGTGCATAAGGGATGTACCAAAACACCTTGATATAGGTGCGGTGCATGCAAGTAGATGAGGAAATGTGACTAGGATGGAAGAAATTATATAGTAAAACCTGCAAAAGGGACAATGTAAACCAGGGAAAAACCTCCTCTGTGCCCAATAAAAAACCACACATCCCTCCCCAAAGCAAAAAAAAACTTAGACCCACCCCAGCCCAGTACATTTCGAATTGTCTCTTATGTGGTGATGCTGTGTTGAGATGCAAGACACCATTTCCCGAAAGGGACATAATAAAGAAATTATGATTCTATATCTTCTCTATCTCTCTCTCTCTCTCTCTCTCTCTCTCTCTCTCTCTCTCTCTCTCTCTCTCTCTCTCTCTCTCTCTCTCTCTCTCTCTGTCTATCTCTCTTTACCTCTGACTCTGTCTCTCTCTGTCTCTTTCTCTCTCTCCCTCTCTCTCTCTCTCTCCCTTTCTCATTCTCTCTCTCTCACTGCGTCATAATGTGGGTGAGGTTAGACAGTGAGAGAGAGAGGGAGGAGGGTGGCAGCTAAAATAGAGCGTTTCGTCGTCACACTCACACACACACACACACACACACACACACACACACACACACACACACACACACACACACACACACACACACACATACATACACACACACACACACACACACAACACACACACACACACACACACACACACACACACACACACACACACACACACACACACACACACACACACACACACACACACACACACACAGCCAAAACAGAAAAAGTGTTATTTAAAGACAAGAGCAGTAGTTGCTCATCTCATTTAGAAAGCCACAGAGAGAAGGAGAAAGAAAGGGAGGGAGGGATGGATGGAGGAGAGGTACCGAGGGAGATGGAGGGAGGAAGGGGAAAGAGAGTGAGAGACAGAAGAGCAACAGAGATGATGTCATCCTTTAACCCAGTATACCTCTCCCTTCTCTCTCTCTCTCTCTCTCTCTCTCTCTCTCTCTCTCTCTCTCTCGCCCTTTCCCCCATCTCTCTCTTCTCCCTCTCTCTGTGGCAGTACTATATTTAGCTCTGTCTGTCTGTGTGTGTGTGTGTGTGTGTTGCCGGGTGTCTGAATCAGTGATGCTTCTTCATGTCTGCCCCTTAAAGATGTCTGCACACCTTTAAACTCCCTGTCTTTTTCACATTATTTCTCTCTCCTGCCCTTTTGCTCTCTAGCTCTCTCTTTCTCTCTCTCCCTCTCTCTCCCTCTCTCTCCATCCATGTTTCCACAAACTCACTGTCTCCAATTTAATTTATATTTTTCTGCCACTGTGCTCCGGAAGCTACAATATGTACACTTACAAAAAAGGGTTCCAAAAGGGTTCTTCGGCTGTCCCCATAGGATAACCCTTTGTGGTTCCAGGTAGAACTCTTTTGGGTTCCATGTAGAACCCTGTGTAAATCTCTCTCTCTCTCTCTCCCTCTCTCTCTCTCTCTCTCTCTCTCTCTCTCTCTCTCTCTCTCTCTCTCTCTCTCTCTCTCTCTCTCTCTCTCTCTCTCTCTCTCTCTCTCTTATTCTAGTTCGCTCCCCCTCTCTCTTCACCCCTTTCCCTACCGCCCCATCCTCCTGTATCCTTAATGATACCCTATTCCCTATATAGTCCACTACTTTTGAACAGGCCTATGGGCACAATTCCTTTCCTTAATACTGTAGCCCAGGGATGGGCAACTTTGATGGGGATGGGGGCCACAAAAAATGTGAAGTCATCATGACGCGATGCAGTGGCTCGCGGGTCTGCGTACCCACATCAATACCCACACATGCAGTCAAGTGATTTGTGCAATAAATATATTTGTGCAGTTAAACTACTTAACTAAATGCAGGGCTGGCCCTTACCTTTTTAACATTTTACTGGCCCGTGTCTTGATGGCGCAGATAAATGTTTTAGTACATTTAAAGGACATGTTAAAGTACATATTTTGCCATGGGGTGGAGAGACATTTTTGCAATTCTATAACACATTTCATACAATTCTACTAATTTTGCCATGACTTATGCCATGTTAATATGATATCTGAGTGAGAGTGACTAACAAAATCAATTGGGGCCCCCTGGAGGTCAGGGCCCCTGGGCATGTGCCTTGCGTGCCCTGTCGATATTTGGCCATGATTACTAGTTGGCCATGATTACTAGTTCTAACTTACCAATTAAAACATTGTTAGCTGACATGGCTAATTGAGTGACTGTCAGTGACTGACATACTGTAACAATAGAAAAACTGCTGATGCACAACCACATTTTTTAATTGCATATTATGGATTATACTATTCTAATTCTCAACAGTAAGTTGAGACCCAGACTGAGGTCGGGCCCCCCGTTTTTGAAAATCGACTCGAGGGCCTCAGTGGGCCGCCAGTTGCCCATCCCTACTGTAGTCATACTCCCTTGCTCTCTCTCTCTCTCTCGCTCTCTCTCTCTCTCTCTCTCTCTCTCTCTCTCTCTCTCTCTCTTTCTCTTTCTCTCTCTTTTCCCTCCCTTTCTCGATCTGTTCTTTCTGGTTCCTAGTTCGGCTCTTCTTCATACAATTACTCTCCATTAAAAACGGATTAGATTTCTCCTTCATAGTCTGACTATGGAGGGAGAGAGAGGAATGGATGGAGGGAGAGAGGAGGGAGAAAAGGATGGAGGGGTGAGACAGAGCTCTACAGTTCGACCATTTTACTCGCATATGCACTTAAATATTTTGCTGTGCGACCTGGAAGTTCTATTTAGGAGCATCAGTGAGGCACATTTTTGGGTGGATTCTAGCGTTAATATCTAAAATATTTTTCATTGTGCTCCTATTTTTTGTTTTGTGCGCCTACATTTTCCAACAATTTTTCAACACATGCTCCTTATAAAAAAGGTCAGCGTAGAGCCCTGTGAGAGGGAAGGAGGGTTGGGGGAGAGGGTTGGAGAGGTGCAAAGAGGAAGAGGGATGGATGTACACTTTTGAACATTTAGACTTTGAACATTTAGTTCAAGGGTTTTGTGTTACCTTGATGTGATCAAAAGGTGCAGCCTGTTGGTTGAAAAGGTTTTGACTGTTTGCAGGAGTGTTGTGTGTTTAACCTGTCCCTCTCTCCATCCCTCTCTCCGTCCATCTCTCCATCCCTCTCACCGTCCCTCTCTCCATCCCTCTCACCGTCCCTCTCTCCATCCCTCTCACCGTCCCTCTCTCCATCCCTCTCTCCGTCCCTCTCTCCATCCCTATCACCGTCCCTCTCTCCATCCCTCTCACCGTCCCTCTCTCCATCCCTCTCACCGTCTCTCTCTCCATCCCTCTCACCGTCCCTCTCTCCATCCCTCTCACCGTCCCTCTCTCCATCCCTCTCACCGTCCCTCTCTCCATCCCTCTCACCGTCCCTCTCTCCATCCCTCTCACCGTCCCTCTCTCCATCCCTCTCACCGTCCCTCTCTCCATCCCTCCCCAGATGCCCCTGTGGCAGAGCTCCATGACCTGTTCTGTAAGAAGCTGCAGCAGTGCTGCGTCCTCTTTGACTTCCTGGACTGTGTGGCAGACCTGAAGGGGAAAGAGATCAAACGAGCTGCGCTCAACGAACTGGTGGAGTCTGTTGCTACAAGCAGAGGAGTTCTGATAGAGCCACTCTACCCAGAGGCTATTAAGATGGTGAGAGAGATGGAGAGAGGGAGGGAGGGGGAGGCGGTAGGGAGAAGAGAGTGTGAGAGGAGAGAGGGATGGAGGGAGGGAGAGGGGGGAGAATAGGAGAGGAAAGGGGGTGGAGAAGGGATAGAGAGGAGTAGAAGATTGGAGAAAGGGAGAGATGGAGGGATGAGAGGAGGTGGGGAGATGTAAAGACCTCTTCAACTGGAGTGTAAACTAAAATAAAGGATTGGTTGAAGGAGAGAGAAAGAGGGAGGAGAGGAAGAGAGGGACAGGACAAAGGAAATAGATAGATAGCGTTTGAGAAAAGAGAAAGGGTTATGAAGTTTCTATTCTCTTATTTTTCCTCCTTTTCCTTTCCTCCTCCCTCCACCTCTCCTCTCTCCACCTCTCCACCTCTCCACCTCTCATCTCGTCTCCTCTCCTCTCCTCCTTCCATCCCTCCATCACTCTATCCTCTTTTAGATCTCAGTGAATATCTTCAGGACGTTACCTCCCAGTGAGAACCCAGAGTTTGACCCGGAGGAGGATGAACCCACTCTAGAGGCCTCCTGGCCACACCTGCAGGTACACGCATGCACACACACACACACACACACACACACACACACACACACACACACACACACACACACACACACACACACACACACACACACAAACACGGGCAGTCATACGATTAGTAACAGACTTGAAATCTATATCTGTGAAGATGATTCCATGTATCATCCTCAGTCTTAACTCTGTCTTAACTGTGTGTGTGTGTGTGTGTTCTCTGTGTGTCTGTTTTCTCAGCTGGTGTATGAGTTCTTTCTGCGTTTCCTGGAGAGCCCAGACTTCCAGCCCTCCATGGCCAAACGCTATGTCGACCAGAAGTTTGTTCTTCAGGTAAAAAGCTATTTCTTCTGTCTCTGTTTGTGTATTACTCAGACTCTCTGGGTTCTCTATGTCTGCATTTTGATCATTTATCTCTCTTTCTCTGTGTGTGCCTGTCTGTATGTGTGTGTGTGTGTGTGTGTGTGTGTGTGTGTGTGTGTGTGTGTGTGTGTGTGTGTGTGTGTGTGTGTAGCTGTTGGAATTGTTTGACAGTGAAGATCCGAGGGAGAGAGAGTACCTCAAGACCATCCTGCATCGTGTCTACGGCAAACTGCTCGGCCTGCGGGCGTACATACGCAAACAGATCAACAATATCTTCCTCAGGTACCACACACACACACACACACACACACACACACACACACACATACGCTCAGGCAGACACGCACGCATGTACATACTCACACACTCACTCACGTGCAAACTCACACAGACACTCATGCAGACTCACACGTAAACCCAACACACACACACAAATTGAAATATTGCAAATTATGCGTTTGTGTGCCTTGTCTCTGTTCTTCCAGGTTTATCTATGAGACTGAGCACTTCAACGGTGTGGCAGAGCTACTGGAGATTCTGGGCAGGTGTGTATCATCTTGTATCACACACTCTTTACCCTCTATGGGGTGCAGGCCCTCAAGTTCTGTTAGATCAATACATGTCCCTGATTGGTTTTCCCTTTGGGAAAGGTCTATGCACTCTCTAGAGCATTGTTTCTTATTCCTGTTCCTGGAGACTTAAAGTGGTGCGTATTTTAGTTTTTTGCCCTAGCACTACACACCTGATTCCTCTAATCAAGTCATTATTACAGTTTTTTTTCGATTGCTAACAAGCATTGTTCAATACTGCGGATACATGTGCAAAACTCTAAATACAGTTATCAAAACAACATGCAACTTGGCAATGCACATCCTATATGTCACAAAAGCAAATCTTTCTACCAAATAAAAGCTAACAGTCTCTCACGACATGCACACTTTGTCATTCATAATATCATGACCTACAAAACAGCTAAAATGTGTCAATTTGTCTTTAATATCATATTTTTTTAGATGAACCAACAGTCATTTTTACATAAGAGTGGCAAACCTGTACTGTATAGAATGTCCTCAAACAATCACCCACAAGGACAAGGGGGCAGAGGGAACACTTATACACAGACTAATGAGGGGATTAGAACCAGGTGTATGTGATTGACAAGACAAGACAAATGTGATGATGATAATTGGGGCGGCAGTGGTTAGTAAGCCGGTGACAACGAACGCTGAAGCCTGCCCGAACAAGGAGGAGAGGCAGCCTCGGCGGAAGTCGTGACAGTACCCCCCCTTGACGCGCAGCTCCAGCAGCGCGCCGACCCCAGCCTCGGGGACGTCCAGGAGGACGCGTGGCAAACCTGTACTGTATAGAATGTCCTCAATACGGTAATCAGGGGGGAGTAACAACCTATAAGTGACCTCGTTGATTCTCCTCAGGACTTTGAACGGCCCCACAAACAGCGGGCTCAGCTTCCGGCAGGGCAGGCAGAGGGACAGATTCCGGGTCGCGAGCCAGACCCGATCCCCCGGTACGAAGACCGGGGCCTAAATGCAGTGACGGTCAGCGTTGGCCTTCTGAGGTGAATGTGGGCAGCGTCCCACGCCTCCTCCACGTGCCGAAACCAGTCATCCACCGCAGGAGCCTCGGTCTGGCTCTGGTGCCACGGTGCCAGAACCGGTTGGTAACCTAAAACACATTGGAATGGTGTCGGAGAGAGTTCTGGGCATATTCTGCCCATGGCAAGAATACCGACCACTCCCCCGGCCGGTTCTGGCAGTAGGACCGCAGGAACCTACCCACATCCTGATTTACCCATTCCACCTGCCCATTTGACTCGGGGTGGAACTCTGAGGTCAGGCTGACCGAGACCCCCAGACGTTCCATGAATGCCTTCCAGACCTTGGACCCCGTAGTGCCAGAAGACGTGAGTAAACAGGGCCTCCGCAGTCTGCAGGGCCGTGGGGAGACTGGGCAGAGTATGGAGGCGGCAGGACTTGGAAAAGCGGTCCACAATGACTAGGATGGTGGTGTTACCTTGGGAGAGGGGAAGATCGGTCAAAAAATCTATACTAAGGTGAGACCATGGTCGTTGTGGAACTGGTAAAGGTTGTAACTTACCCACTGGGAGGTGCCTAGGTGCCTTACTCTGGGCGCACACCGAGCAGGAGGAGACGTACACCCTCACGTCCTTAGCCAAGGTAGGCCACCAGTACTTTCCGATCAAGCAGCGCGCTGTATGACCGATACCTGGGTGACCAGAGGAGGGTGACGTGTGTGGAGGCCGGGAGTATGGGGGTGTTGTCTCTGGGCCTCTCCTCTGTGTCATACAGCTGGGACAGTACGTTCACGTTCTTCGTGCCCGGAATGTATGATAGTGTAAAATCCAACCGGGTGAAGAATAGGGCCCACCTGGCCTGGCGAGGATTCAGCCTCCTCGCTGCCCGGATGTACTCCAGGTTAGGGTGGTCCGTCCAGACGAGGAAAGGGTGTTTCGCTCCTTCGAGCCAATGCCTCCACACGGTCAAAGCTCGGACAACAGCCAACAGCTCCCGATCACCAACGTCGTTGTTCTGCTCCGCCGGGCTGAGCTTCTTAGAGAAGAAGGCACAGGCAGGGGCGGAGCTTGGGTGGCGTGCCTGAGTGTTGGGACAGGACAGCGCCTATCCCTACCTTGGACGCATCCACCTCTACTACGAACGGTAGTGATGGATCAGGGTGGGCCAGTACCGGGGCTGAGGTGAACAGACCCCGCAGTCTCCTGAAGGTCAGCCTCAGCAGACCAGGCCCACCCTTCAACAGGGATGTAATGGGAGCTGCGACCTTGCCAAAACCCCGGATAAACCTCTGATAGTAGTTGGCAAAGGAAGCGCTGCACCTCCTTAACCGTGTTTGGAGTCGGCCAATTACGCACGGCTGAAATGCGATCTCCCTCCATCTCCACACCTGAGGTGGTAATGCGGTATCCGAGGAAGGAGACAAACTGCTGGAAAAACATACACTTCTCTGCCTTGGCATAAAGGTCATTTTCTAACAGCACTTTGCGAACCAGGGACACATGCTCAGCGCACGTAGTGGAATACACCAGGATGTCATCGATGTAGACCACCACACCGCGACCAAGCATGTCCCGAAACACCTTGTTCACAAAGGACTGAAAGACGGATGGAGCATTCATCAAACCGTAGGGCATCACCAGGTATTCATAATGCCCTGTGGTTGTGCTGAATGCTGTCTTCCACTCATCCCCCTCCCGAACACGCACCAGGTTGTATGCACTCCTGAGATCTAGCTTAGTGAAGAAGCGCGCCCCATGCATTGACTCAATCACTGAAGGAAAGAGGGGGAGAGGATAACTAAATCTAATCGTCTCCCTGTTCAGTGATCGATAATCAATGCACGGGCACAGACCGCCGTCTTTCTTCTTCACAAAGAAGAAACTTGAGGAGGCGGGTAAAGTGGAGGGACGTATATACCCCTGGCCGAGGGACTCAGTGATGTATGTTTCCAAAGCCTCCGTTTCAGCCTTTGACAGCGGGCACACATGACTCCTGGGAGGTACAGCGTTTACCCGAAGGTATATCGCGCAATCCCCCGCCCGATGAGGTGGTAATTTAGACGCGTGCGCCAAATCGAGGTATTCGGGGGGAATACGCACGGTGGAGGTACCGTCTGGACTTTCCACCATGGTTGTACCAATGGAAACACCTAGACACCTACCTTGACACTCTCGCGAACACCCCGTGAGAGCCCTCTGCGTCGTTGTGGAGTGCTAGCCAAGGGATACCTAATACCACAGGGAAAGCAGGAGACTCAATAATCGAAAAAAATAACCTGCTCACAATGTGTCTCCTGGGTGATCATGGTGACTGGTATAGTGACTTCCGTAACAAACCCGGACCCCAATGGTCGACTATCAAGTGCTCTGATGGGGAGTGGAATGGATATGGGAACCAATGAAATGCCTTGGCCATAAAGTTCCCAGCTGCGCCTGAATCGTCTAGCGCCTTACACTGGGGAACTACCATGTGATCGGGAAAGTGGATAGGTAGGGTACAGTGCGCAGCAGAGGGCTCTGAACAAGTGTGGGTGTTCGATACCTAGTGTGATGCGAGAGTGCCCTGCCTGCCGCCTCCAGGCCCAAAAGAACGTTGACTACGACGTGTGGTGTACTGTCCCTTCGTGCCACCAGAGTGGCACTGTCGCTTTCTTCCTCCGCTCTCTCGGACAGCGGCTCCACCCAGCTCCATCAGCTCGGGAGCCGAGTCGTCCGGGGTGGAAACGGTCAGACCCCTACCAGGACGTCCTCTAGCTGCCAGCAGGTTGTCCAAACGAATGGCCATGTCCACCAGTCTCGTGAAGGACAACATGGTGTCCCGGCAGGCTAGCTCCCATCGGACATCCTCCCGCAGATGGCAACGGAAATGGTCGATCAAGGCCCGCTCGTTCCACCTGGACCCCGCTGCCAGAGTCCGAAACTCCAACGCGAAGTCATGCGCGGTCCTCGTCCCCTGCCTCAGGTGGACCAGCCGCTCGCCCGCCTATCGACCCTCGGGCGGGTGATCGAAGACCACCCGGAAGAGGCGAGCGAACTCCCCGTAGTCCTCCAACGCGGCTCCTCCTTCGTTCCACACCGCGTTGGCCCACTCCAGGGCTTTCCCACAGAGGGAGGAAACGAGGACGGACACCTTCTCCCGCTCCGATGGCGCCAGCCTGATGCTGGAGAAGTAAAGCTCTAGTTGGAGGAGGAATCCTTGGCAGAGCGCCACCGTCCCATCGAACGCCCGTGGTCGGGATATCTGGATCCCTCCGGGTGCTGGGGTGTAGGTGGCTGGATCCGGTTGACCAGCTGGTGTTGACAAATCGGGTCCTGTCCTCTCCAGGCGTTGGACGACCTGAAGAACCCGATCCATCGCTTCCCCCACGCTGGCCAGCATCGGGGAATGTTCCTGGACTCGTGCCACGACTTCAGGCATGCGCTCTTCTCCCGCTGACTCCATAGCAGGTGGGTGATTCTGTGATGCGTGTGATGGAAGGAGTCAGGCGCAGGAGGGTAGTCACCAAATACAGAGTTTATTCCTTCGTTACACAAAATACACTGGAATAGCGACAAACGAAACAGGCACAGGGGAAACTATCTACCCTGGCAGTACACTGTAACAGTATCTCCATACAATACATAGACACAGGGGAATCATCTACCCTGGCAACAAAATGGTATGAGTAGCTCCACGAGCTACACTACTCTCA